TTGCACAAATAAATTGAGTAGTCAACGCGAAGCGAGATTGTATTACTTCACACTTAGTTTTCAAAGAGTTTGTACAAAGATTGATTTTATTAATCCACTCTGATTTGCTGTGAGCTGTGGCCATTGAGTTGAGCAACGCTTCTCTTGAGTTCACAGCGAGTTGAACTTGATTTGTGAGCAGACCGGAGCAACACGCAAGAGGTTAAATTAATCCTCTCGTGCGCAGGTGTGAGCAGCCGGATGAGTTGGCCGAGTTCACGTGAGATTGCACATGGCAACGTGTAACCTCACTTTTACTCGTCGTGTGCTCGTGTGATTGAGATGCGCCGAAAAAATCCCGAGAGTTGAGGTGATGACAAAAAGATTCCACCAGGCCTGCAGTAGACATTATTGGTCTTCACTCGCAGTCTGGATGGTTTCTTTACCTGGTCGCAATCGATGAGTTGACTCCGATTCGCAGACCGATGAGTTGAGCCTTGATGAGTAGAGCGATGCAAAAAGGCTTGTCGAGAAGTCCTTGTTGACAGGCTTGAGCTGGTTGAGACGATTTGGAGTAGACGAGGTGATGAGACTGTTGTGAAGATGATGTTCAATGTAGCCTTGTTAAGCTGACGTCGGGAAATTTCTCGCAGTTGAAAAAAGTCTTCGCACGAGACACGCACGATATGTAGCTTAGTCAAATGCAGAAACGAGAAGACCGAGATCGCGAACAATGCGCAGATAGCAGAGATGCCATCGGCACGTGCCGCGGCGCGACGCCATCTCTCGCCGCGCAGTGAGAATCACACCGACGCTTGCACAGCACGTGAACGTGTGCGTGTACAAGCCGCTCGCTCATACCTGTTATTCTCGAACACAATGTCATATTTTGAGTTTTTGTAAACTTGTTCAAATTTAAAAAAATACTTTTCCGAGACTCATACTTATTTATAAGTAGTTAAATCGAAAAATGAGATTTTAACAATGGCATATTTTGAGTTTTAATGAGTTTCACATGTTGTGATTGTCACGTCACCCTTATTTTATTATAATCAATTATAATGTTCTTAAAAATAATGTATATTCAAATAACGATAAACATGAAATTTCACTCTGCGAACGGACGCACCATATTATAAAATATGCAAAAATATTATAAAATAGCGCACGTGTTCCAATCGATAAAGAGCTCAAAATTTTCTGAAAAGTGAAAACTCTGAATGTGAACTGTTGTATTACGGCCCAAAACCTTTCCGAATCACCGGACAGAATTTGGATAAAATTTTTTTTTACCAAGATCTCGTGGCTGACACAAATGCAACGATTTCTCATGCGTGTACAAAAATATTATAAAATTGCACACGAGTTACGAATCGATCAAGAGCTCAAAATTTTCTGAAAAGTGAAAATTCTAAATGTGAATTATTGTGGTACGGCCCAAAACCCTTCCGAATCACTGGACAGAAATTGTAATAATTATGAAAACTATTGCATAAAAATTTTATTTCGAAGAATGTTTTTTTCCATAAAAATTTTTTTTTGAAAATTTTTTTTTTCAAAAAAATTTGTTTTTTGAAAAATTTTTTTTTTTAAATTTTTTTTTAATCTTTTTTTTTAAAAAAAATTTTTTAATAATTTTTTTTTTTATACTTTGCCGGCTAGGTGCTACCGCACCCGTTGATTATATTCTAATTAGTAAGTTTTACATTTACATTTTCAGTGAAAAACTCTTTACCAATTGATTGACAGCGATTTTCATTAGAACGGTAACAGAAGCGAACGCCTTACCATGTTTTGATTATAGTAAGTTAAAACTTAATAACAAGTGCTAATGTTGATTTTTTATAATGTAAAAAAAGTAATATGTAATTACATTGTTTTTGATTGAGAGTTTCAATACAACTATATACACGATCAATGTTTGAAAAGTGAATCAGTTGCATCTATTAGTAACATCATTATATCGAGTTTAGATTAGATTTTATTAAAAGCATACTAGCAACTTACTTTTTTTATTCGTTGATCAGCAATCGATGATTCGTCGCCAGTGAAAATGCGAACATTTTATTTTCACAATAACTTTCAACCTCATAGACACGTTGCATACACGTATGAGAAAAACACAATGCAATTGTACGATAATATAACTATAGCTATGAGTAAACACAGATATACGTGAAAAAAGTTTCAATATACGCAATGAGCAAAAAGTAAACAAAGATGTATTAGGCATTCTTCCCGTACAAGTTTGGCCGCAAGATGGCAGTCTTGTACCAGGAACACTCATGCGCAGAGGGCGTTTTTCTTTTACCGCTGTGTTTTTTCTTCAAAAAACTACGTACGAATTTCAAAATGGGGGAAGTTAAAGAAAAAAAGTATGGTAAATTAACTATCATTGAGCTGAAGAAATTGTTGAACGAACGAGGAGCTCGATTGAAAAAATTTTAAAAAATAGTCAAATGCACAAAAAAAAATAAATATAAAAACAACCTGGAAATTGACGACAGTGAAAACTTCAAGATTTTTTACCAGAATTATTTTCAAAATGTAATAAAAAGTCAAGGCTTTGGAAATAATATGATTATGAAACAAATTACCATGCCAGCCAACCCTTACGCTGTTGAATGGGATCATGGTTTTTATACCAAAAAGTCCAATGAGTACACAGTACTCAAGTCACTTGGGCTGATTAACTTAACTGAAGAAGAAGTACAACAAATTGAGTTAGAAACAATGAATCAAAGTGACAGTCTAGCTTGGTCAAAAGCAAGATCTGTAAGATTGACAGCAAGCATCTTTCATTCTTGCTGCATGCAGTTAGGCCATGAAAACGCTAAAAATTTAGTAAATAGAATTTTGAGCCCAGTAGCTGTCAAATGCAAAGCCATTAATCATGGCAAGATATATGAAGAAGTGGCTATGAAAAAATTTAATGAGCAATATAGCAATGCACTTGATATTAAAAAGTGTGGCCTATTTATAAGAACAGAAAGGCCCTACCTTGGGGCTACACCTGATCGCTTATTATTTCAGGAATCAATTATTGAGGTAAAGTGCCCATATTCAGTACGATTTTGTGAGATAAATGCAGAAAATTTACCTTATTTACAAACAAACTGTGATGGTGAGCTAGAATTGAAAGAGAATCACCCATATTTTTACCAGATTCAAGGCCAGTTGTGGGCTACGAATAGAAACTTCTGTGATATGATTATTTACACATTTAAGGATTTAAAAAGAATTAGTATTAAAAGAAATGATATTTTTATAAATGATATGTTAATAAAGTTAGATGAATTTTATGAAAAATATCTAAAGCCTGCAATAATAGAGAAATATTTATTTAAATGCTATAGTACTACATTCTAAAGTTAAACCAAAGTTATCATTGGTACAGTATTAATATTAAAAGTTATATTTTGTCAAAGTTTGTATGTTATTGAAAAAGTTTATTTTTCCATTACAATTGTTATGTATGGAATACATATGAAATACATTTTTAAATTTTATACACTTTGTTTTATTTTATTTATTTTATTATACATATATTTACATAATACTTTCTTTAAAATTGGTCAACATTACACATACGGATATTATATCTGGTGATAAAGGTAAAAGTCCCTTGTAAGTTTTTTTGAAAGAATAGTAAAGGTTTTCATCAAACCTATCAACCTTTCAATATGCACTCTATGACGTGATAATTTTCTGTCCTTAACGACAGTTTTATGTGGCAAAGAACCACTCACCATTGGCGTATAGTGTACTAACTGTCACATTATAAGGAGCGAATAAATCTTGCACCATTAATCTTTTGTCAGCTAGAATCACATCACCTGGATCGCATTTTGAAGGTAGATCACTTCTTTCTATGATTTGACGATCACTCGTTGAACCACCATAGGCTGAAGAAGTATAAGATATAAGTCCACCAGGTGTTGTACCAACCATGATTTTAAATGTATTAGCATTTTTGTAAGTACTAAATGTTGCTTGCTTTAAGACTGGATTTTTGGGAGCATCAATTTTAATTTCTGTAGCATCCAATGTAACACGAGTCTTGGGAAAGTGGTTTTTGAAAGTATGTGGCATAGGGTGTCCGTTATTTCCCGACTTTTTTGTATTGCTTCTCCCCCCACCTAGATGTCTTCTATTTGATAAGACAATGAGAAAGCCGGGTTATAGAGTTCGAAAAAATGATTTTAAGGTGGCCCCCAAGCGGCTTGAAGCTTACATGTATTTTAAATGGGAAGAACTTAAAAATTTGATTCTCAGCGATAAAAATGATGAAAAAATTTGAAAAAATTCAGCAACCCATGTATTTTATGTATTTTTTGACGAGGAATCGATTGGTGACCTTGAATTTGACCTTGAACATAACCTCAAAGCTACAGAGAACCAAAAATCGTTTTTTTCACAGTGACCCCCATTTTTTATTGCAGATTCGAAAAGAGCGGAAAATTTCATGTCTGATTATGTCTTTCGATTTTTTTTCAAGGGTATTCAAAAGGCGCTGCAGATATAGATAAAGCCCTAACTAGTAAAAACTCGAAAATTGCACGCTAAAATTAGGGTTTTATTTGTATCTGTAGCATCTTTATAATGCCCTTGAAAAAAAATCAAAAGACATAATTTGACTTGAAATTTTCCGCTCTTTTCGAATCTGCAATAAAAAGTGGGGGTTACCGCAAAAAAAACGATTTTTCTCAATATTTTGTTCGCTGTAGCTTTGAGGTTATGTTCAAGGTCAAATTCAAGGTCACCAATCGATTCCTCGTCAAAAAATACATAAAATACATGGGTTGCTGAATTTTTTCAAATTTTTTCATCATTTTTATCGCTGAGAATCAAATTTTTAAGTTCTTCCCATTTAAAATACATGTAAGCTTCAAGCCGCTTGGGGGCCACCTTAAAATCATTTTTTCGAACTCTATAACCCGGCTTTCTCATTGTCTTATCAAATAGAAGACATCTAGGTGGGGGGAGAAGCAATACAAAAAAGTCGGGAAATAACGGACACCCTAATGTGGCATGTAGAAGTTTATCAATTCTCGACTTGGCCACATATCAATCAGAGACCATGTCTTTGACATAATTGTTATCCATGTATAAAAAATTTCAGCAACACTCTCATTGTCAGTGCTAAAGTGCTCTGCTAACTCCAAGTTGCAAGTTGCTCGTCTCAGTTTCCAAAGAGTTAGAAACAATTGATTTGGTATGCTGATCTTTTTATCTTTTTCAATTTTCTCAAAGTGAGACATAACTGGTGATAACGTGTACAAGATAGTCTTGAATTTTTGGTAGTTGAACCCAGTGAAATGATTTAGCTGTACAGGTTTATGTTTGTAGTTGTCCACATTATACTTTGAACATGAATCTGTCTGCATCATAATTGACTTTTTTAAGTACACTGGCTCTTCATCACTGTGCATATCACTTTTTAATTCTATTACACTTTTATTCAAAGGTTCTACTTCAGCATCAATTTCTTCTTCACATAACTGTAAATTCACTTGTAAAATGTCTTCTTCTGCGAGGAACTTGCTATTTTGTTGTTCAGGTGCATCAGTCGTTGATTGTTGTTCAGGTGATTCAGTTGTTGAAATAAATTCTGGACAGCACGCTTCTTTTTCTTCTATCTCTATATTTTCATTTGAGAAGTTACTTTGTGCAGTAAATGGTTCATTTGCCTCTGGTGGATTGTCAGCTGATTCTTGCCAAGGAAATATTGGGATGTAATGCGAGTGCCCTGGAGGGGGAAAAAATCCAATATGTCCGCTATAGCCATGAGGTTTAACATAGGAATGTATGGGAGGTTTACAGTTTTTCGCTCATATTTCAAAAAATATGCAAATTTTCGGAAAACCGAGGACATCAATCGATTTCTCGTCAAATTTTACATCGGAAATGATTGTCGACTGCAAAAGTGTTAGTGTAAAATTATTCACAATATCGAGTTAAACAGAGAAATTCGACTATGAAAGGGGGCTCTCGCTTCGCTTTGACGTGATTTTTATTTGTTTAACTCGATATTGTGAATAATTTTACACTAACACTTTTGCAGTCGACAATCATTTCCGATGTAAAATTTGACGAGGAATCGATTGATGTCCTCGGTTTTCCGAAAATTTGCATATTTTTTGAAATATGAGCGAAAAACTGTAAACCTCCTATACACTCCTATGTTAAACTTCATGGCTATAGCGGACATATTGGATTTTTTCCCCCTCCAGGGCACTCGCATTACATCCCAATAGAAGGTACTGCACCAAAGTTCAAAGTCAATCGACTGAGAAGATAGTTAGCTGTTGAATTGAAGCAAGTGTTGTTATTTTATATATTTTAAATAATTTTAATTATTGATAATATTGCTACTCACCTTCGGTACTAATATTATGGATATCTTGTGCTCTAAAGTGGTTTATACATAACCCATCACCTACACGAGGAACGAAATCTGGCCTTCTTATCGCTTTCAACCACTTCTTTCTTAACTCCATTCGTTTTGGAAATTTGAATTTCCGAACACCTTGACAATTTTTTACGCTGCATTTCATTTTATTTTACTTAATATTTTTATATTATATTGTATATAGTAAACAGATAGATACAGCAGTAGCAGCAGCAGCAACAGAAGCAGCAGATAAGATTGGATGTATGTAGCAGACGCAGTGGTTACTATTATTGTTATGCGCGTTCCTAATACAAGACTGCCATCTTGCGGCCAAACTTGTACGGGAAGAATGCCTAATAGCGCGGTACACGCGCGATACACGCGCGAAACGAACGATAGTGTAGCCGCTTGTCCGCACGACGCGCCCTCTTGCAACTATACTTGAGAAATACCGGCTTTCTGTACGATAGCACGATTCATTGCTTATCCAACGCTTGACCAGGTCACATCTGCTGACTTCTGCTGAATAACATCATAATCACACAGTGAAAAATCAACAATAACGAACATCATGTCTGATCATGTAAGTACGCGTTTATTATATATAACTAGTAATAATTGTTATGTGGGTATGTAGATTTCTTATAACATTGATGTATGTTTTCTTTTAATAACAGATGGATGATGAAATTCCAGCAATCAGCTGGCCTTGAATGAGGTAGCAAATAATGTTGCCTTGCTGCGACACAATTAGAAAACCAACAACGCATTATACCCAGTTCGAAGAAAAGCGAAACATTCATAGACAACAACTACAGCAATAGCAACAGCAATTGCAAGAGCAGCATCAGCAACTTCAACAACTTGCTCAGCAGCATCAGCAGCAGCAGCAGCAGCAACAACAACAACAACAACTGCCATTTCAAGCAAGACCAGCTCATAATGTACGTAGAGCAAGAAATACATCAAGTGATGATTCAGAAAGTAAGTACGCACTTTATGATTTGATTTACTTTTATTGAATTCACGAGATTGAAATTCGTTATAATTCTGTATTTTTACAGGTGATTATTCACAGAGGAGCAGGCGACCCACTAGAAGAGATGGTGCTGATAAGGCCCAAAAAGCTTATTATCAGGACCTTAACAATCCTTTCTTACGAGCAATCAGGAACCAGTGTGCTTTTTTTCATGGGATGGTCACAGAAGCTGCAAGTGAAGTAGCATATAGAAGACAATAGATGAGAAGACAACAGTTTAGAAACAGATCAAGAAATAGAAACAATAGAAGCAGATCAAGGAGTAGAAATAATGATAGACGTAACTCAAGAGACAGAAACAACCGAAACAACAGAAACAGAAATAAAAGTAATTTAAGAAGTGAATGAAGATCAAGAGATAAGAAGAACAAGAAAAAAATTTTTTGTTTTAAAATAAAAAGAAAATGTTTAATTATTTTTTTCTTTTTTTCTATGAATAGATTAATAAGATAAAATAAGGTGTTTGTTTTAAAATAAAAAATAATTGCTTGGTTATTATTTTCTATTTTTCTATTAATAAAGGTTAATAAACTTAAATCTACTTTTTGTATTAAGGGGGGAAAGGAACCTTAAACCTACATTTGTGAAAAATTTATTTAAAATGAAAAAAAAAAATTTTTTTTGGAATAAACAGAGAAAACTCTGTTTTTTTCACTCTTTTTCAAAAGTTTTTTACTCTGGAAAATGTAAATTGAAGTCCCAGTCACCATAGAACCCTCCTCGATGAAGCAAGCCCACAGTCCTGACAGGTACCACTGTGCCGTAGGTTCCAGCTAGAACCGATAGTTCAATCATAGTCCTTGGGGTCTCATTTTGATCATTAGATGTGTTGTTACAAACGCAAGCACTTTCAGATTTTTTAATTAGTTATACACAATTTTCCAACCACATATACACATTTAATCATTAATTTCTATGATAAAATGATAGATTATGCTACAATATAGCGTGAAAAGAGTGCTCATTTGTCCCAATACCTTTGAAAGTGCTTGCGTTTGTAGCCATTCTCATGTAGAACAATCCCTGAAAATTTCAGCTCATTTGCTCAAACGGTTCACATGGAAAGTGTGATGGCTAGTTTGACCATCTATTTATTATTAATAAAATATGCCAGCTGACTGAAAGCTAATGACTCGACTCTATGTCTCTTGGGTGGGGCGTGGTGGAGAAATGAATAACACAGGGACTTGGATTCACACACACAAGACTGTTTATTTAACCTTAATCCTAGTTACATAAATGTTGCTTACTATGTACCGGTGTTCTTATCTTCGGCGGCGACGTTCGGTGCGGCGACTGAAGGCGTCGGTGTGCTGGCTGTTGTAGGGCGGGCCCGTGACGGTCTGGCCTCGGCTGGTGCGGCGTCGGTGAGGGTGATCGGCGTCGGCGAGATCGGCGTCGAGGAGATCGGCGTCGACGAGGTCGGCACGGCGTCGGTGGATGTAGCTGAACAAGCTCGCGCACTGCTCGCGTAACTAAGTCGGTGCTCGTTACTTTGTATTTACCGGATTCGAATGGCTCGCGAATTCGTCTAAGTGCTTAATACGGAGTCGTGTAAAAATCGACTAAGTCCCGATTAGAGCAAGGTGTAGCGCGATTGAGCGTAGCTCCGCCCTGGTTCGCGTTCGGTCACGGAGTGCGTCCTGAGGCCGTGCTGTGGCCCGGTATTTATATCGGACTCCGTGTCCGGTCTGGTCCTGTGAACGACTTGCACATGTTTGTTGAGGGGGTGTTTAGTTCCTGCTACCGTTTTTTCCTCGTCCGGTCCTGCTTGGTGATCTACATTCTGTCGCAAAAAATGTAAAGTTTATAAGTTGCCTCTTGGAATTAGGCCGGCTCGGGCCTCTCATTGACGAATCGACGAGATGCGAAGCTCGCTCGGGCCGTCGATCATAAACTACATCTTTTAACGGCCCCTGCCTCCGGTCTTGTTCGCCGATTCGGCCTGTCACCATCTTCACGCCGGCTTCGGCCACATGTGCTGCGCTGCGCGATCTTTATTGCTGCACGTGTGAGCCCTTGCTGTCGTCGAATTATTCTCGTGAATTCGCGGCTCTATATCCGCTCGTGTACATCCGCAGGTGCTAGTTTAGCTCGCAATCGTGCGTGTGATTTCGCCGCTCTTTCGGCCTTGGCACTCGCGTGCGTATTCCGTCGTTCGCGTGCGCCTCGCGCTATGATGTGCCGACATTGCTGTATCCGTGTGAGCAGCATTTCTATGTGTGTGTGGGCGGCCGCTCGCGCCTCCACGCGTGTTCCGCGTTTGTATAAGCGTTGCGGCGCGTATGGGCCGCCCGTGCCTTCATGCACACACTGCGGGGGCGTCCGTGTGTGTGTGTACGCTGTCCTCATGCGAGCGTAGACGTTACGGCGCGTATGGGCCGCTCGTGCCTTCACGCACACATTACGGGGGCGTCCGTGTGTGTGTGTGCGCTGTCTCTATGCGAGCGTAGATGCTGCGGGTCTGCGGTGCGTATGGACCGCTCGTGTCTTCACGCACACACTGCGGGCGCGTCGGTGAGTTGTGTGCACGCACTTGCTGCTTGTATGCTTGTATGCGCGGGTCGTTCGGTTATTATTATCTTATTCCTGGACATACCTCCGTCCAGCCATTACAAAAGTTACGGCAACAAAGCATTTTTGAGATGAAACGTAACTGCCTAAGAGTTAAAAATAACAAAAATACACCAATATATATCGTAATGATACTTTCATGTCACTGAGGCTGCTTGAAACTTTTTGGACAATAAAAAACAGTAATTCAATTGGAATTTTCAACATATTGGACCCACAAGGACAATGTTCAATTACCCTAGACAGCCACACAAAGCCAAATGCGTCAATTTCATTACTACATTTTATAATTTGTACTAAAATGTTAGTATACACTAATATGGGTTTTATGTGAAAACTGGTAACTAATTTGTTATGTCCAAATCAACTTTTCACACAAATGTAACGCCACCGTAAACATACGAGACGTTACGCACTCGCTCAACCCGGTTTATGACCCTCTGACACACGCGAGTAAGAACTTGGCACATACGAGTCAATGACTCTGTGGCACACGCGAATGACATGATCAGCCGCGATCTATAGCAGGTAAACGCGCGAGCAATATGATCGGCCGCGAGCAATAGCGGGTACATGCGAGAGCAACGTAATCGGCTGCAAGCAATGATAAGTACGCGTATGAGCAACGTAATCGGGCATAAGCAATTACAAGTACACGTACGTACAACGTGATATCAAAAAAGTCAATAAAAAAATTTTTTTTTTGACATTTTAGGTACCTTTCCCCCTTTAATTAAACTTCCTCATTTCAAACTAAATAAACAAAAGCATTGATTTCTGTGGGCCACATAACCTTGACCTGTCAAAACATCTAAACTGTCTGCTTCCAAATATATTAAACGACACATCCATTTCACATTTTATGTTTTCATGCTTAACTTTAAAACTTTCAGAGCTATCTTTGTAAAATTACAATCAATTTTTTAGACTGGTTATTTCAAACCAAACAATAAATTTCAAACAAATAGCTTAATAACTTTCAACTCTCAAGCAATAAAATGATTTTTGCATTGAATAACACTTTCATTTTTACATTTTATAGAAAATTTAAATTGTAAAAATTTAAGTGTCTTTCAATACCAAAATTTGAGAATAAAAAGTTATTAAGCTATTGGTTTGAATTTTTTTTGTTTGGTTTGATTACAATGATAGCTCTGAATGTTTTAAAGTTTAGTTTGAAAATATGAAATGTAAAAATGGAAGTGTCTTCCAATACAAAAATCATGTTATTGCTTGAGTGTTAAAAGATATGACACTATGAAATATTTTTAATTGATTTAAATAACCAGTTTAAATTCAGATTGTAATTTTATAGAGTTAGCTCTGAAAGTTTTAAAATTTATAGTCTGATAATGTAAATTATAAAAGTGAAAGTTTCATTCAATACAAACTCATTTTACTGCTTGAGGATAGAAAGTTTTCAAGCTATTAATCCCAAATTTTTCTATTTGGATTGTAATACCAGTCCTAATTCATGTTTTAAATTTACAGAG